TGTTTTAATTACTGGTAATATTCCTTACTATTTCATTTTCTTGTATATTTATGGTTTCTTTCCTCCCATGAGAACGTGGCCCATTTTTATCTTGGTTTGTATATGTCCCCAGAATGAAGCATATAATCGGTACTTCATTAATGTTCCTTGAATGATTAAAGAAATTGCTCAAGTCACAAGCCCAAGTTATCCTTGAAATCTTTTCTCTTTCTACCATATCCAAACCACCACCAAATATCTATATTTTAACTTAAATATCTATCAGATCTATTCATTTCTCTCCATTTCTAATGCCACCCATGATCTCTGTGCATATCCAGTCTTGCTTTTAAATCTATACTCTTTTCAGGAATCTAAAGTTTCATTTTTGAAAACAAATATGGTCATGATACTGCCTGCTTAAATTATTCAGCAGCTTCCCATTTTTTCTAAGAAAATCATCAAAAGTCTTAAACTACAAAATGGAATTACTTAACCCTAACCATTCTTTCCAAACTCATTTAGTACTTTTTATTTCTGGTATTAAAAATACCAGTGTTCCTCCTCCCACCACCATAGTGATATTCAGTTGATCCACGCTATGGTGGAGTCTGGCATCAAGGTTTTAAAAGATCCCCAGGGGATTCTAATGTGCAGCCCGTATTGAAAACCAGATTTCAGTATTGAAAACCAGATAGATGAAAACATCTATCCCTTTTATCCACCTACTTTAACTATTTCATTTTCCAAATCTCAGTTCAAAGTTTATTTCTCTGATTTTACTTCTCCCTTTCCTTCTTGTCTTCCCTCATCCTCAAGATTAGATTACTGACCTCCTCATAAGCCATTCTAGCACCATTTGCTTCTCTTTTAGGTCACTTAACATGATTTGAATTTATAAAGGGTATTGTAAGGAAGGATTTTAAACTTTATATTAATAAGTGGAGATTGAAAATCACCTTGGATTAGAATAGCTTTATTTTGCAAAGCCACCTAAATATCCTCTTAGATATGCAAGTACTAGTCAAGTGGAAAGAGTATAACAAGACTTTATAAAAAAAATTTGCAGCACTCTCCTTTGCTTGGGTTGGCAGAGTTCCTTAGAGATTTTTGGATCAAATTTCATATGGCTTTTTGGGCCTTTCTGGAGGGAAGATATACAAATTCCTCAACTCTGCCACAAAACTAATATCATCTATTCTGCAGAATTGGGGTAGCCTTAACCCTTCCCATTGTCATAAAAATAAGTCATTTATCTCTATGAGGAGGTAAATAGAAGGAAAGGGGAAGTAGAGCCTGGTAACTTGTATGAACACGATGGCTACATTTTGTGGGGATGGTCATTCCAATGAAATGTGCAGCTGAGGTTGAATACTCTTTCTGGCCAGCTGTCCTGGCACTTTATTGAACTGTGGGGACCAAATCCTAATCATGTGAATGTGAACTTAAAAGAGCTGTAATTATGGAACCTAGAATGAAAAGCCATTTGTCCAGGAACAAAGGTACACATGTGTACATTTTTTCTAGAAAAAATAGAAAAAAAAATGGGACATGATGCTTTTTTTAAGAAAAATGGGAATCTTTTGGCAGTAACTGAAGAGTGGGAGCTCAAGAATGAATGGATTTCCCTTAAAAGCAAAACAAAACCCCTTTTGGATGAATAACATCCAGTATTATTCTTGGGAAAACTTGGAGGAGCGAGGGAGAGGAACACACACAAGAGAATCTGGACTTTCCACCAAGAAAACTAGGTGGAGACTGTGAGCCAAGTTATATCTCTTTTACAAGTAAACAATTTTCATGACTGACTCCTCCACAGACTGTATGTTCAGTGAAGGCAGGAGTGTGGTCTGCTTAACTCACCTGATCTCCAACATCTTCATGGAATCTGTCAAAATTACTTGCTGAATTAAGAAATAATTATAAATACATGAGCAAAATAACTACCAGCATTATAATAGCAAGCAGGTATAAACTGCTCTGGGAACAGATGACAATCAGTCACTTGATTGATTCTGTTTATATGGAGATTTTGAAAATCACAAGGAAATTAAATTAATAAAAACCTATCACAAGACTTGAGTTTGTAAGATTTTTTCAATAAATACTTCCTAATTGAATTAATCACTAGTGATATGGATATTCTGGGTTAAAATTCCCAGAGGAAACACAACTAAAGGAGTCAGTAGACACTGAGATCAGAATTCCACTTGCCCAATTCTGTAACACTAGGCAGTGTGTGAATAAATCCTCACCTCATAAAGAGGTAAGGCAGTGTATGGTTGTTATTTTATACATAGTAAAAGAGTTTTAATAAATACAAATGGATTAGTTTTGCTAGGGCCACCTTGAGTTATAGTTCAGTACTTCCTATGGATGTTCCTCAGATAACTAATCACAAGACATGTCCCGTGGGAACAAAAAAGTAGGGGTGGTTTCCAATATCATATAAAAATATGGGTGACCACTTTATTCCATTGATAAAGCTTATTAGCAAATTATCCAGATATTTAAGCAAATAAATCAACAAAGCTTTTGACCTTGTCAATCCACTTATTGGTAAAGTAGTTAAATCCAATCAGTAGTAATTTAGGGGTCCCTCAAATCCTTAATTTAATTTTTTTCTCTCAGTAAGGGAATAGTTGGCTAAATCACCGAATTGTAATACTATGCACCTGAGTAAAAAATATGAGTTGGATCTAAATACACTGCAATTTAACATATCCATAATACATTGTTAAACAACAGAATTGAATAGCAGAATAGTAAGTATATCATGACTAATTTTATGTAAAAAATTTATATGTGTTTGTATATACATAGAAAATATATTGAGGGACACAACAGTATAATTCAAAATATTATTAGCAAGGCTACCAAAGGAGAAAAGGGTATGATTTGAGAGATGGTAGATGTGCACTTTGACTTTTTATTTTGTACATTGTTATACTTCTGATTTTTTACATTGTTTTTCTTTCTGTAATATGATAAATACATTTTTTTAAAAAAAACCCTAGAATGTTTAAAATAGCACGAGTGGTTATTTTTGGATAATAAGAGTGAGGGTTATGTGTTATTTCCTTTCTATTTTTCATTTTTTTGCCCAGTGAGCATTGTTACTTTTATTGTAACAAAAATAGCTTTCTTTAAAGAACACTAAAAAAAACATTTGAAGAAAGGAAAGTTATGAGGGATAAAGAAGGGCTTTACATAATGATAAAGGGTCATGTGTGGGTTAATGTGGTATATGGGAAATCTCTGTACCTTCCTCTCAATTTTACTATGATCCTTAAACTGCTCTAAAAAATAAAGTCTTTTTTAAAAGCATATAAGAAACAGGATTAAGAAGAAATAGTTCAAACTGAAGATGAAACAAACAGATGGAAAGATATACCATACTCTTGGATTGGAAGAATCAATATTGTCAAAATGACTATACTACCCAAGGCAATCTACAGATTCAATGCAATCCCTATCAAATTACCAATGGCATTTTTCACAGAACTAGAACAAAATCTTAAAATTTGTGTGGAGATACAAATGACCCCGAATAGACAAAGCAATGTTGAGAAAGAAAAATGGAGCTGGAGGAATCAGGTTCCTTGACATAAGACTATACTACAAAGCTAGAATCATCAAAACAGTATGATACTGGCACAAAAACAGAAATATAGATCAACAAAACAGAATAGAAAGCCCAGAAATAAACCCATGCACCTATGGTCAATTAATCTATGACAAAGGGGGCAAGACTGTACAATGGAGGAAAGACAGTATCTCCAATAAATAGTGCTGGGAAAACTGGACAGCTACATGTAAAATATGAAATTAGAAAATTCTTTAACACCGCACACAAAAATAAACTCAAAATGGATTAAAAACCTAAATGTAAGGCTGGACACTATAAAACTCTTAGAAGAAAACAGGCAGAACACCCTTTGACATAAATTGCAGCAATATCTTTTTTTGATCTGTTTCTTAGAGTAATGGAAATAAAAACAAAAATAAACAAATGGGACCTAAGTAAACTCAAAAGTTTTGCAGAGCAAAGGAACCCATAAATAAAATGAAAAGACAACCCACAGAATGGGAGAAAATATTTGCAAACAATGTTACTGACAAGGGATTAGTTTCCAAAATTTACAAACAGCTTGTGCAGCTCAATATCCAAAAAAGGAACAACCCAAGCAAAAAATCGGCAGAAGACCTAAATAGACATTTCTACAGAGAAGATATGCAGATGGTCAAGAGGCATATGAAAAGATGCTCATCATTGCTAAGTATTAGAGGAACACAAATCAAAACTACGAGATATCACCTCACACCGGTCAGAATGGCCATCATCAAAAAATCTAAAAATAATATAAATGTTGGATAGGGTATGGTGAAACGGGAACCCTCCAACACTGTTGGTGGGAATGCAAATTGGTAGAGCCAGTATAGAGAACAGTATGGAGGTTCCTTAAAACAATAAAAATAGAGTTACCATATGATCCAGCAATCCCACTCCTGGGCATATATCCAGAGAAAAACATGGTTCAAAGGATACATGCACAAAAGAATAGATACATGTATATGTTTAACTGAATCACTTAATCACTTTGCTGTACACCTGAAACTATCAATAACATTGTTAATCAACTGTACTCCAATACAAAATAAAAATTTAAAACCAAAAAATATTAAAACCTAGACATTAACAGTTTGGCAAACTCTTTTCTTTCAACATTTTGTCTTTCTTTTCATAGAGTTTTGTACTTTATATAGAATCATTCCTTTAATTTTTAAAATTGTAAAAATAGTTATGCCCTTTGAAAAATATTTAAATTTATGGAAACATGTAGAGTAAAAAAGGAATATATTTTAAAATAGTACTATACATATGCATTTCTTTTACATTTGGGAGATAATTGCTATACATTTTAAAAAGCCACGTGTTATACACTTTTATACTAAAACATAAACGATCATATCTCTTCCAGCATATTATACCACATAGCTAATACTATTAAAGTACATACCTCCTTTTCTAACATCAAGCCTTCTGCTCTGAGGTTCTTTTCAAATGTGTTTCTTTTGTCATACTGTATATTTGACTTTCTATAAACCAGGATGTAATCAATCCGCTTTTTGCCATCTTTGAATAGAAGTCCACTGGATGCTATGTAATTCATGTCATTCTGCAAATAAAGCAAGGGTTGTTAATAGCGTGGGTTAGATAAGCACACACATTTTGCTTTCAGTCACTTCCGTTTGAATATTGGCAATCCAATATAAAAATGTGTCTTTTACATTCCAATTGTGAGATAAGAAAAGATCATTTTAAAAGTTTGCAATCTACAGTACGAGACAAGCTAGCAAGTGACGTTCTAGGATTTGAAATTAGGCAGTCTGACACCAGAACATGGATTCTCTGACGTTAGCATCAAAATGCGCATGTTTTATTCAATAAGACCCTGTAAAAATAACTGCCAACATACATTGAATATTTGCTCAAAATCAGGCCCAGACATAAATTTTTTACATATTTTAATATTCAAACTTTCATTTTGAAGATAAAGACAACAAGGTTTAAACAACATAAGCATTGAGAATCGAAATTAACATAATTTCCTACATGAAATAATAGATAAGACATTATTTTCCTAAACCTATGTTCAACAATGCCAAACCAAACAATTCCTGGGCGGCTTGTTCCAAGAAATACTTGCTCCCAGAATATAAGACTGTGATCCAACTAAAACAGCCTACTTATTAAGACTAATTGCATGCTTATTAAGACTTCTTTAAGGTCCTCCCCTTGCTCCGTCCACCTACCCCAGCTGTTTTTCCCATACTCCGACCAATTTTCAACCAACTTCCTCCCTTGCAAGATTTACCTTAAAATCCCCCAGTCCAGGTCCTAGAACCCTCTGAAAACTCTTCCCTAACTTCATCTTTTTAAAACACTACTAAGACTACCCAGGTGGTATCCTTATTTGCTATAACTTTAATAAAATTAGTTTTTATGATCAACTGATTTTCATGATGGTCTTTTTCGGGAGCTGGCACTTTGCCAGGAAACGGTTCCGCATTACTTGAATTCAAGTTTGACTCCCACTCCATGTTCTTAACTATTATGTACATTATCCTTCTTTCTCCACATTTCCCATCAAACGATTTAAATATCTGTACCAACTCTCTATTCCATTTTTCCCCATACAGGCATTCTTGAGATCCAAAAATGTCTTAACATTTGGAGAGCTATCTGATAATTTCAGACAAAGTCATCTCCAACTTCTTTGGAGGAGCTTACTTGGGACATACATGCAGCTCGAGGTAAAAAAAGTGAGCACGAGAGTAACCTGGTGGCCAAGAAGTCATCCAGGTGAAGCAACAAAAAAGATATCTGAGTGACTGTCATCCTATAGGGACAGGTTAGGCTGCTCAGGAGCTGTCTTTTTAGAAAGAATAGGTTCATGTGTGTGAATTTGGGGGTATTAGAGACTCCCACGTTCAAGGACAAGAAGGTTTGCATAGCCTTTTCTTCAATGAATGAAAAAATTTTGAGATTCCCAGGATTATTTTATTGGTTACTATAAAGTGACTAACAACTCCAGCAGAGTCATCAAGGCCTTGTAGTTGCAGAATAATGATGATAATAATAGCTATCACTAACTGATCACTTACTATGGTGCCAGGCAGTGTGCCAAGTGCTTTATTCTCATAATTCTTTAAGGTAGATATTGATATGAGTACCAGAAGCCAAAGAGGTTAAGTGACATCCCAGATGTCATGGAAACGACAATAGTGAAACTAGAACTCTCACCTATTTGATGGTGGTCTTGACAACTATATTGCAAAAGACAAGGAAGTATATATACGTGCACATTACTAGGTCTGGGGCTTGAGCAGTAATAGAAGGCTAACTGGCCAAAAGGCCATTTACAGGTCCTAGAGGATGGAGACACTGAGGATTTATGGCCAGAGAAGACACAATTAACTTCAGACTTTAGAGTGCTTTTGCCTCCACCACTCCAGAGGTTTCTTTGGCCAGCGTCACCAATGACATACTATTGATGTATCCCATTAATCAATTTTCTATCCTCTTCTTTACCTTTCAGTAGTTGAATCACTCACTCCACCTCGAATACATTTTTTTCCTTTGCACTCCCAAGACATCTCATTTATTTGGATTTTTTCCTACTTAAATGGTTCCTTATTCTCAGCTTTTATTTCTTTCTTCCTCTGATTTGTTAAAGGACCAGTCATTGATTCTCTTGCCTTCTTTATCTGCATTCCCTTCCTTGTGATTTCATTCAGTCTCATGGTTTTAAATAAGAATCTATACGCTGACTACATAATTAATATTCATAGGCTTGTGTATCCAACTGCCTTCCTGATTTCTTCACTTGGATGTCTAATGGACATCTCAGAGTTGACTGTCCAAAATGGAATTCCTTATTTTATCCAAGCAGATGTTTCCCAAAACCCTCTTTATTCTGATTGGTTGCAAATCTATCCTTTAAATTGCTCAGATCAAAAATCTCGAGTCATCTTTATTTCCTCTCTTTTCACCCATCTAATAATTCAGATCATCAGAAAATTCTTCAAAATATATATAGAATCTGACCATTTTCTAACACCTTCATTACTACTCTTTTCTAAGATATATCACATATTGACTACATTATTATAATAGTCTGACTCATCTCCTAGCTTCTATCTTTGCTCCTCTAAAGTCTATTCTCAACATGACAGTTAAGACACTTGAGTGATCCTCCGCATTTTAAACATTATGTAACTCCTCTCTTCAAGACCCTACAGCTTCTTTCCACGATATTCCATTCTTGATCCTACTTTTCCTAATCTATTTGCCTTAGCAACGGTTAAATTCCAACATGTTATATAACACTAAATAATTTACTTATTAATTATCTTTTGTTTACTGTCTACCTTATTCTATTGGAATATAAATTTTACAAAGGTGATAAATTTTTACTGTTTTGTTCACAGAGTATTTCAAACATCTAACCCAGGGCCAGACACATAGTAAAGCATTAATAGATATTTATGGGAAGAAGGAGGGAGGGAAAGAAGGGAAAGGAAAGAAGGGAATAATCCATAGTTATGTGTATCCAGGTAGGAATAACCTCAAAAATTTAAGGCCATTAAAATATCATGTGGTCATTTCTCATCCTCTCCCCTCCAACATTAACACAAATCAAATTATAATCAAATAAGACGAATGATCACAAAATTGTAGCAGAACTGCAATAGCCATGGCTTTCCCTTTGTTTTATACTATGACCCACTGCCTCCAGGCATCTCCATGGTAATGTAAACAAAGATTGAGCTAAAATAAGATTATATAAAATTTTTCCTCTGCATTTTCTTTTTCTTAAAGTGTACCACCCTCTTAATACCAGCCCAGTATTAAGTATCACCTGAATCTTAAATTAATAATAACATATTTAATCCCAGGTGAAGGTAAAATCCTTCAATGAGAAGACCGAGAAATCACATGACTGGCTGGTAGGAAAACTATGAGAAGATAAGATAGTTTTAAAATATTTTATGTGCTTTCCCTATTTTAAGAGTAGTATGGACTGAAAGTAGAACCCTGATAGGTACTGTTATCTGTTACTCTAAGATTAAGCAAAATAAATGTTAAACTCTCCCAGAGAAGCAACTGCCTATTTAAAAACCAAAAACCAAAAAACCTACATCGTTTTATGATAAGTGACCTTCGGTATTATTCACAGGTTTTGTCTCTGTCTGTGTAAACATGTTCACAAATTCTATTAACTAGCATTCTAATTTACTATCTAATTATTTTATCATTCTAAATTATGAATAATGAGTTTTACCAGTTTATCAGGAAAAAAGAAAAGTAGTTTTCAAAATGGTAATAAAGAAGCATGGCAAGATTTGGAAATCTCTTCTGAATTACGTAAAAAGAACATAATATAGGTTCTACATAATTTTAAGGTTAAGAATATTACATTTTATTTTAACACATATTTGGCAAACATTAACCAAGATGTTGATTAACCCACGTTCAAATCTGTTGCCTAAAAGCAGAATTGACGGGAAATTTATTATCTAGACAACAAAAGAACCACCTCTTTTTTTGATATAATAACGGTTATTCAAACATGAAATCAAGACTCATCTGGAACAGTGAAATGTTCTCCAGTTACAATGTGGAATGCATTCCATTTTATACCAGGTTTTTCATGTTTATTGTTCCCAGAAGACAGAATAAAACTAGCTTTTCTCAGAGAAACTGGGATGCAGATCATCCATCAGGTACCTAATCTTTCAACAGCTTCGAAGACCACTTAATTAAGGCATTGTAAACCATGAAGCGCAGAGACTTTCAGAAAAGCTTGTCTTCCTAAAGAATATCTTGAGAATACCCAAGTTAAGGCTCGGGTTTGCAAAGATTTTAGACCATTTGCAAAACTGCAATAGAAGTCTGCCTATTTGCATGAGAATGCCTTTTAGGGTATTCTTCAAATAAAATTATGGCAGTAACTGCTTGTTTGTGAGATGCATATTTTTTCTAGCATTTATTCTTCTCAATCTAACAAGAACACCTAATGAACACCTAATGTGTGTGAGGTTCTGTGCTAAACTCCAGGGATAAAAATAAGTAGACACTGAATATTTTCAGAGATTTTAGCATACATATGGAGTGATAGGCCTGCAAATGTTTAGCTACATTGCTATCTTACATGTGCAGTACTAGAGATATGAGTTACAGAGTTGAAGAACGTCAGGGCATAGCCAGAGGAAACCTGATTAATGGGTATCAGAAGCCATCAAGGGTCATATTATCTAGGTGAATTTACCACAGTCCTTTCTCAGGCCACTGCAAAATTAGATCTTGTCACTAATCTGCAAGTGATTGCTGATTCTCTGTTAACCATATCTTTGAGGTAGTAAAACGCAGTATGACACAGTGAAGGTATTGAGCTCTGGATCAGACAGAGTTGGGTTTTAATTAACTGTGTTCTTAGACATGTAATTTAACTTCATTGCTCAGCCTCAATTTCTGTAGCTTTGAAGTGAAGATAATATTATCAACACTGTAAGATTGTTGTTATGACTAAATGAGATAATGCGTACAGAGCATTCTCAATGTAATCTGACTCACTTTACAAGACTTAAGAAAAAGTTAGCTATTATCACAAGA